CACACACACACACACACAAACACACATACAATGTAGATGTGTGATATACGCCTGTCAAGCAACTCTCTCTACTCGTACTGTTTGTGGGACCAAGCTCTGGGGTTGTGAAGGGTGTGGTGTTGGGAGAGATGGTGGGGATGTTAAGATGGAGGTGGGGTCTTGCGGGGAGTTAAGATGCCGAAGTCGGGGGGCATTCGGTGAATTTGCGCGTCACCGAGTGGCAAGACGCGTGCGCAAAGGCGGTGACGTCTAGGCGCTTGTGGGATTTCTTTGTTCTTCGCCCGCACCCTTTGCGATAGCACCACCACCACCACCATCGTCTCGTATTCGACATGTCTGCATTTTCGCGCTTTATTGCGGCCACATCATCCACGTTTCCGCGCCAATGTCTTACGGGTGGAGTCCTCTTCGCGACTGGCGATACCATTGCGCAACAGCTGGTTGAAAAACGTCGATCGCACGACTTTCCTCGCACCTTGCGTCTGGCTCTCTACGGTGGCTGCGTCTTTAGCCCTCTCGCCTCGCTATGGTTCGGTAAAGTTCTAGAACGCGTCCAATTCGCCTCGAAACCCGCCAATATTGCTGCCAAAGTCGCGCTGGATCAAGGTCTAGCCTCCCCCGCCTTCATCGCCCTCTTCTTCGGTACTACAACACTGATGAATGGTGGCACCCCGCAAGAGGCCAAGAAGAAGATCCAGGATAATTGGTGGCCTACCCTTAAAACAGCTTGGGGCCTTTGGATCCCCGTACAAACCCTCAACATGGCTCTTGTACCCCCAATGCAGAGACTGCTGTTCGTAAACGTCGTCAGCATTGCTTGGAACACTTTCCTCAGCATCAAAAGTGGCGCACAACAACCAAGCGAACAAACCGAACTCACCCAGATCAGACTAGACTAGAACCCAAAATCCACACATACACACACATACGCACAATATCAAACACAGATTCGCTTCCTCATTGCGGTCGTAGGGCTTGATCGCTCTTTTGCGAGCGCAACCTCGCCGATGAGGGCGTGGCGATTTCCGACCGTGTAGTCGCATAGCCCGGTCTAGCGTAACCTCCCCCCCAACCTGCGAAGCCAGGCGGATAGAATGCTTGCTGTGCATACATCGGGTACGCATACGGCGCAAAGCTGGCTGTCCCCGCCGAGCCGGTATTGGCAGGCGCAGGCGGTGGAGCCATCATCATGGACAGCATCGGCTGCCCCCCCTGGCCCCCCTGGCCCCCCTGGCCC